GGAAGACAATCGGGAATCGTTTTTGCCTGACTCTCTTAATTGTCCCCAGTAGAGTCGCCAAGATGTCGTAACTATTCTTCGGGTGGTTCCGGAGTCGGGTTTTGACTTAAATTAATGTGATGGAGTCGTCACCGATCATTTTAAATTAGGTTGCTCAGACACCTTAACCTACAATTTATCTGATCTACGATTTACTAGAAATTAGTCGGATTCGGGAGTCGATTATAGTCAATGAAGGATTAGCACCCTTGCACTGCCCTTTCGATACCAATTTGATTTCCTAATTGTCGTAATTGCAAAAACTAAAATTTAAATTTAAATTTAAAAATTTGATCTGAATTACTTACCTTTGACCAATTTTGAAATAGCCTATAAAATGTAAAATTAAGGTTAAACAAAATAAATAAAAAGATTAGGGCATAAAATTAAAAAAAATATAAATATTAAAGAGGATTAAATTAAAAAGAATTAAAATTTAGGGGTCAAATTGATGCTAGATGAAATCTACAAGAAAAGATAAAAAAAGGTTAGGGGCCAATTTATAAAATATAGAAAATATAAACAGTGCTTAAATTGAATTAATCAAAATTCAATGGCAAAATTATAACAGGTGACCAAAATGAACCACACATCAAACCTTCAAAGATTGTGGAAATAATTAAAATATTCAGTAATTACACAAAGGTTCACCTTATATATAGCCATTAAAACACCATTTCACTTTATTTTTCACCCATTTCCTAAAATCAAAACTTCTCCCTTCTCTCTCAACTCTCTCCCAACTTACCCCAACCGACTAAAGGTCGACCAACTCACTGTTCGAGTCCCGTCGCCCGGACCGTTGATTGTGGCCAAAAAATCTAAACTAGCCTAGAATGTTCCCTCAACACCCCAAAACCGAATCTAGCCCCAAATTCCAAGAAAATGCCTCTATTGGCGTATATCTAGGCTTAAAATTCTAGTTTTTACTTTTTCCCGAAGAAGTCTCTTCACTTTCCCAGCGATCTCTCTTCTCCCGAGCCAAAACCAAAGCTATTTAGGGTTTTTTCTTGGTTTTTTGTAGTTTACGAGATACTTTGCTCTTTTTTTTTTTTGCTTTATATTTTTCGATATTTTTCCTTGTTGGTTGCTTCGTTTTTGCTGTGTGATGCTTTGTTTTTTCTAGTTGTCCATTTTGATGGTTTTCCCGATGTATATATTCCCCTCGACGGGGTTGTTTCCGACTATAACGGGGGTTGTTTCCCTTGTCTCAGTTTTACTCGGGCCTGTTGTTGTTCGTGTTGGTCGAAAATCTCGGGAAAATCTTTGTTCCCAATTTTCTCTGTTTATTCCAGAAATCTTGGCTGGTTGGTGACCTTGCTGGCGTGTGGCCTTCACGCGACGTTGAATAGTGATCGTTGGATCAAAAAGCTAGATCAAATGGCCCTGGTTGATGTGGTGCTAAAACCCTAATCTGCTGGGTCAGACTATTGGGCTTCCTTTGTTGGGCTCTCACTGGGTTGGCTTATTGGATCATGCATGTCTACTCAATTGGGCTCCATTTTGGATTGGATTCGGCTGGACCTTTAGACTTTATGATTGGACTTGAAAATAGAAAATAACATAATAATATAAATAATATCATATCATATCATATCATATCATATCATATAATATATAACATATATAATATATAATATATAGTAAATACTATAGTTTATAATATATAATATATATATAATATATATATAATAAATATATATACTATAACATATAACATATACTATACAATATATAATTACATAATATATTATATACTACTCTAATATATTTTATGCTATAACATAAACGGTCCATTCTCTTCCAGTGGTCAGGATATCTGGCTTTCACCCAAGGTCAATTCCGGGCAATGGAATGAAATTAAGGTTATTCTAAAGGCCCAATGAGAACCAATTGATGGAGCGAATTTGCAAAAGAAGCAGGCCACAAATGAACCAAGCACAGCCTATTAGTAGTAGGAAAGGCCCCCACAGAATATATTGATGCCACACATGATGGTAAGCACCACAAAAATCAAGTCCATGATGATGATAGGAGTCCGATAAAAATATATAGTCAAAGCACATCTGATCCACTATATAGTAAAAATATAAATTTGTATCCACATTTTCCCCTTGAACTTATAAAATGCACCATCACATATAAGAAAACAAGCACGTTATGTTCCAACATGTGGAGACTGAACCATAAAAAGTTAAAATTACAAGTGAACTATACTATGCCTCCCTCTTAGGGAAACCTGAATTTCCTACTAATAATCAAGGTCATAGTCATGGCAGCATCAAGGTGTTCTCGATTTATCTAGGAACCAATGAAGCAAATGTTTATGAAAAGCCACATGTTCAAAGAACTTAGCGGAGTTTACTAAAAAAATATCGTTAAAAACATGTTTTGTTATAGTGTAACAATCAACATCGATCAAATGTAAAGTTGATGTAATTAAGAAGTCGAAACGAAATTACTAGTTTTAATCTAGTATAGAAGCAAAATGACTCTTTAAGATTTAATTTTATTCTAGTTAGTAAAATTTTATGTTCGTCATAGTTTTTTATTAAATTTTGAATAAAAGTTCAAGTAAGAAAATTTTAATGAAATTATAATGGTATTTAATCGTGTATTAGAATGATTGGATGCAATTTAAAATAACATGAATATAAATATCATAAATATGGGAGAAAAACAAACTATATGGGAAAATAAAGGCATGATCTTTGAACTGGCAAAACCTAAAGCTGCTTGATCTGATGAGATGTACTCTTTCGATTTAATGGTTTAAGGGAGAATAGTGAACATATCTCCATTGTCGTTCAGTGGTTAGGAGGAGACCCGGGTTCAATTCCCGGCAATGGAAGAAGTTATAAATATGTTTTACAATAAAACTGTGGCACCACCACGTCATAGAATTAATTAAGTTGAAAACTTTGGACTTTACTTGCACTCTGAAGCGGTTTTAATTTGAGAGCAGCTCGTATTTTCCTGAAATCAATTCAGTTGTCTTCAATAAATACATTGCAGTTAGACGATGTGAATTCATTTTAATCAGAAATTCACATTCACTAAGCTTAGCGAAGAGTTGTTTACCTGGAAAGAATAAGCAATCCTTCGAAAAACACATCTAGATATTCCCTGACGGTGCTAGTAGATTTAAATTTTCAGAAATACATCGCACATCTTAATTGGATCAATTTATTAGCTTTCATTACAACGATAACGAAAGGTGAACAGTTGATTCATTTCACGGTAATAAGAAGACTGCACAAAATCAAACATCCTGATTTGATTCGATCTACAATCCCACTGTGTTTCTAAGAGGATCTTTGTTTATTGATTACAGACAGTTTCACCCATTTCCATCATCATGTGGAGGTCCCTGACCCTGATAATGACAGCAAGTTCCCCGGAAGAGAGACATTGAGATGAATCATGGGATCTTCTCTTTGATGATCTATCCGTACCATATCATTGAACCAAGTGCTTATCGACACAACCGGAGGACAATTTCAAGATGTGGTGTACAATTCCGTTTTGATACCAAATGGGTTTGGAGAGTTTTTGTTAATGTTAAATTTTGACAAATCTTGGCTTTTCCTTTATTTATTTCCTTGTGTATTCGTCTTTGTATCCACCTCCTCGTTTTATTAATTGAAGAAAGAAAGAAGTATATATTATTAAACATTCGTCGAATTATTAATGGATAAGGTGGATAACCAACTTTTATGCAGTATATATAAATCATCAAGTAAATGATATTATATGAAATTAAGTTCTAATCTCACCTCAAAAGAGTATGCTCTCAATTATTTCCCAGCCTTAGAGGATATAGCTATAGTAATCACTTGTTTGTTTACATTTCATTTCAGATAATATACACATTCATAAAATTTGATAATTGAGCACTATATTGACATGGATATAGCTTAAATAAGAAAGGGTGAACAAAATTCAATTCGATTCAAAACTCGTTTTAACTAAAATTTTATACATTCTATTCAACTTGGAAAAAAAATAATAAAGACTGAATGATAAAATAAGTCTCGTTAACTCGATTAACTCAAAAATTTTAAATTAGAATCAACTCAATTAACTCAAATGTTCATCCTTATTTCCTCTTACCCCTAATTCTTCAATCATTTAAAATCAGTTTTGACCAAATTTAAATCACATGCTCCTCCAACGCTATGTAATATCAAATGTAATTTGAGTTCCGATTTTTAACAACAAATGTACTCTTCTTACACTTTAGTCCATCAACTTTATATTTTATTCAATTTGATTTTTATTGCCGTTATTTTCAAATTCTTTCTTTCCATCAATTCTTTAACATTTTTGTACTCTCGTCAATAATTTTCTCCCAAAATACTTTCTTTAGCAGAATAAATTATAAATATATTTATAATTTTAGATGACATTTGATTTATTAAATAACATTACACTATGAAAGAATATGAAGATATATATACATATTATGGTTAAGATAGTAGTCAAATTGGACCAATCCACACTATAATATTATAAATATTTACCATTAAATTTGAATAGAAACTCAAAAACTCGATTGGATTCAACTCAAACTTCATAAATTCAACTTGGCTTGAAAAAATTTCAAATAAAATTTGAGTCCTAAAATGATACTAGTCTGCTTTACTAACTCAACTATTTTTAACTTAACCCAGCTCGATCAAATACTTACCCGTAAATAGTTGTTTATATCAAGAGTTAGCTGACAACATTTATCTCCATTTTACATTTGACACATTTTAACTTGAGAATTTATTAAATTATTTTTATTTTAAAATATAACAAATATTATTGCGAAAATATTTTTATTTTTCACATTTTTATATAACTTTTAAATAAAATTACTTTAAAACTATTAATTGAGATTCAAACACAATATCTACAGAGTTGCACAAAACTTTTAGTACTAATATAATCATTTGGTAAATTAAATGTTTTTTTACGTGAATTTGGTAATTTTGAACACCTAAAACTTGTATTTTTCGGATAATTTCTGCAGTTGGTAGATTGTATAGGATTAAAAAAATAAAAAGAGAGAGAGAGAGAGAGGAGGGGCATACCGGAGGGTTAAACGTACTACGTTCCTGCGCCAAACAGGCTTTGTTCAATCCTGCAACCAACAGAAGGATCTAGTGAGAGATTTTGCTAATTAAACGAGTTTATGCAAAGTTGGACCACCATTAACAATCTTCTTATATTTGATCCTCCTCAGCCTAGTAACTGGAATCATAATCTACACTTCCTAATAAAGGAATACTGCCGGCAAGCATGAAGAATAATTCACTCAAAAATATTCAAATATGTTTAATCCTCTCATCCGCTGAATTGCTTCCAACTTGATTTATTATTGCTTAATGAAGATCCCATGAATGCAAGTCATCGCAAATATTGAAGTCGACACCATGGATAACTTATGGCAGACGGTTCTAGAATTAAAATCCAAGTACCAAGTGTTGGGTGTCGTAAGACAAGTTATACTCCCGTTGAGAAAATCCGTGTACGAACTTTGAAGATGTCAATGTTGGAAGAAACAACCTCAAACCCCGACCATATAGCTTAAAACGGGTATGTATGATATCAAAACCCATGTAAAATATGGCATCTTCTCTACAGATGCGTCGAATAAAAATTTCCAGTGGCTGCAGTTCAAGATAGGCAGGCATCAGCTAAACCAATGTTATCAAGGCCGTCGTCTAAAGTCACCTAATCGATGCACCTTAGTGTTAGACAAAAAAAGCCAAAATAACAGGCGCATTTGATAAGCACATATAGCTAAAAAATACCAACCAATTGACGTTTTCTTTAACTTCTTTCCCCATTAGTTGTATCGGATTATATCAAACTCTAGTTATACTTCTCCATATTTGAGTCTACAACAAACATGGGATCATAAGGAAATCATATTGGCCAACAAAATTAAAGGAAAATTTTACATGTTCTGCAAATAAATTGGACCAATCTTTAAATTATCATAATTATACATCTTAAGCCTATTAAATGTATACATAACAAAAATACACGTGCATTTTACTACACTCAAATGCGGGCATTTTTTAGCCCTTTGCATTTGGTAACGAGGTTCTAGTGCATAATATGTGCCTTGAAAAAGGCTGGGCTAAAATAACCAAAGAGGTAAACAAATGACATATATGATGATGCATGTTTGTACAAAAACTTTATATTCCAAAAATATCAAACGGTAAGAAAACAATAAAACTGGTTACAGATTCTAAGAGAAGGAACTCAACTGCAAGTGGCATATACAACAACGATGAACACGGATAAGTAATTCGTCTTCCAGATGTTGGGAAAACCACTTCATGTGAAAAGGTCTTTATCACACCATCAGCTTCTATTTGAGAAAACTTTGCCCACAACCTGAAACGTTCATCCACATCCACAATCCATGGAAAATATTAGTCAACGTGTTACTGATGACTGCAGTTTCACATTAAAGATGCAACACATTCAGCATATCCCCAAGCTTCTTAAAAAGGGCTCTACAGTTGAGATGACTCAATCTAAGGGAGACCTCAAGTTCGTTTTAGATATTTAATTATGTCAGAAAATAGATTCCTAAATTAGAAATATTATGTGTAATTAGATAAGACTCTGTGAATATCTTTTAGTAGTTACAATCCCTAACTTTAAGGGATTGTATCTTTCCCTAGAATTAGTTACTTTCCTAGCTTAAGAGTTCCCTAAGTTGAGGTTATAGCTTGTATATAAATATGTAACAAATTTTACAGAAAATATGAGTTTTACAGAGAATTACTCTACTTTTAACATGGTATCAAAGCTTTTTTAGTTCATTCCTGGGTCCTGTTAATCTCGGTCTAACAACCTTTTTTTCATTCCTAAATCTTTCCCTTGAGTGCGTACTGTTAACCCAACAAAAAACATGGTTGTGGTGGTTGATAAAACATTTCTGAGACGGTTCAGGGAGTCAAAATGAATGGAGTTATTCTAACCCGATAGGTGACTTGCAAAATATACAAAATGCCTATAGGTTGAATGGAAAAAACTACCTTAAATGGTCTCAGCTTGTTCATACATTTCTAAAGGGTAGAGGTAAGTTAAGTCATCTTCTAGGTACTGGACCTAAGGAGGGAGATCCTAGGTTTGATTCTTAGGATGAACATGATTCATTAGTAATATCCAGGTTATGGAATTCCACGGTGCCAGAGATCAGTGATACAAGCATGTTTCTCAATACAACCCAAGAGATATGGGAGGTCGTAAAACAAACAAACTTACTCAAAGGTTAGAGATGTTGCCCAGATCTATAAAATCAAGACCAAGATTTCATCCATCAAGTAGGGAAGCAAGTCAATCCAGATGAGGTGTAGTCAAGACGCGACTTTTCTAAAGAGGTTTGCTGAAAAAGACAGAATGGATAATTTTCCTGCTAGACTAAATATTGAATTCGATGCAGTGAGAGTCCAGATTATTGGAAAGTAAGACCTGCCATCACTAAATGAAGTTATTACAAACATTCATGCTGAGGAAAGAAGAATAGGAGTTATGATTGAAAGTAGTAAGTGGAGAGTTCAGCCTTGGCCACTAAAGCCGTAACCGAGAGAAAGATTGGTCTGGAACATCAAATTACTAATGATAATAAACCAGAGGCAATGAACAGGGACTCTCTATGGTGCACCTACTGCAAGAAACCTCACCACACAAAAGAGAAGTGTTGGAGACTTCATGGGAAGCCACAAACAGCAAGTAAAAATTTTTCAAAGTAAAAGGGATCAAGGGGACAAGGAAGAGCATGTACAACCAAAAACTTGGTTGAGGACTCTCAAGAACAGCCTATTGAGTTCAACAGAGAAGAAATAGAAAAATTGAAGAGCTTGCTAGGGTCACTAGACAAAACCTCCTCTACAGGTACATGTAGTCTAGTTTTCTCAGCTATATCCTCTTCTCAGGACTTTAAGGCCTCGAATTTACCCATCTATTTCTTCAATCACATTTACCACTTATACACCCTGTCCTTCAATAAAAAAATAACAGTTGCATATGGTACTATGATAACAGTGGTTGGTCAAGAGGATATTGTTATAAGTAAAACTTACATTGAAAAATGTCCTTCATGTACCCAAACTATTTACTAATCTTCTATCCATTCAGAAAATTACCAAGGAGACTAACTGCAGTGTTCTTTTTCATCCTACTCAATGCATTTTTTAGGATCAAGGAACGAGGAGGTTGATTGGATATGCTAAAGAAGTAAATGGCCTATATTACCTTAAAGACTCTGGTGGACAAGTCAGTGCCCTGAATTCTCCATCTTTTTCACTTTAATCAGGATCTAAAGCCAATAATACCAAATATGGCTTCATCACCTCCGCCTTGGTCACCCATCCTTTAAAGTTATAATTCCTTCTTTGATCAAGTCCTTAATATTGAAGAATTTCATTGTGACATATGTGAACTTGCAAAACATAAATGCATCTCTTTTCCCGTGAGTAATAAAAAAGCCTCCAACCCTTTTACACTCATTCACAATGATGTTTGGGGGCCATCCACTATTCCAAATATAACTGGGGCTCGATAGTTGTCTCATTCATAAATGATTGTGCCCGAGTGTCATGGATATTTCTTCTAAAACAAAAATCGGATGTAAGCTCTACTTTTAAAACCTTTTGCACCATGATTAAGACTCGGTTTGAAGTAGACATAAAAAGGTTTCGATCAGACAATGCTAAGGACTATTTCAACCAAGTCCTATCACCCTATTTTCAAGAGAAAGGCAACATATATGAGTCCTCTTGTGTGAATAACCCTCAACAGAATGGTGTGACAGAAAGAAAGAATGGACATATCCTTGCCATAACAAGAGCCCTTTTGTTTCAAAAAAAATGTCCCTAAACAGTATTGGGGAGAAACTGTGTTAATTGCCACCTATATGATAAACAAACTACCCACTAAAGCCCTTAAAATCTCAAAGTCCTATTCAAATCCTAACCAATTTCTTCCCAAATTTTAGTCCTTCACTTAATCTTAAACCTAAAATATTTGACTTTGTTGCCTTTGTCCATAGACACTCTCAAAATAGGGGTATGCTTGATCCAAGGGCGTTAAAATGCATCTGTGTTGGCTACTCTTCCACTCAAAAAGGGTAAAAGTGCTATTATCCACCTACAAGGAAACACTTTATTTCTATTGATGTTACTTTTGCAGAAAAGGAAAACTATTTTACTCACCCTTATCTTCAGGGGGAGATTTCATTCAGGGAAGATAAGGACAAAGATTGTTTCCTACTTCCGTCTCTCATTGACTTTCCTACAGCAGCTCAACAACCTATTCCTTTCCAACAACCTATTTTTGACCAACCTACCACCTTATAATCTGATCCTAACACCCCTCAGCCAAAGACTCAGGACACTACTCGTCCTCTGCTGGTCTACTAAAGTAAGAAGGCACCAGTGCAGGTTCAATCATCCTCTTCCTTCCATATACAAACCGAGGTAACTACTGAACCTATCTCTGATCTAAATACCACTGAAAATTTTGATTCTACTTCTAACCAAAGGGATTTTTATTTTCCTATTGCAATTAGAAAAGGAAAAAGAATTTGCACGACAAAAACCCCCCTTTACTTATTTATGTCTTACAAGAACTTATCTCACAATCACAAGGCCTTCCTTACTAGCCTAAATACCATTACCATTCCTAAAACTGCGTCAGAGACATTAGAAAATGAGAATTGGAAGAATGCCATATAAGGAGAAATAGAAGCACTCGAGAAGAACAAAACATGGGACTTGGTGAAACTGCCAGAAGGAAAGAAAACAGTCGGGTGTAGATGAGTGTTTATAGTAAAGTACAAATCAGATGGTTCTTTAGAAAGGTACAAAGCAAGGTTAGTGGCTAAAGGTATTCTCAAACCTATAAGATAGACTACCTTGAGACATTTTCTCCTGTTACAAAGATGAACACTGTGAGAATTTTCTTGTCATTAGTTGCCAATCAAGGATGGAAATTACAACAGTAGGACATTAAGAATGCCTTTTTACATGGAGATCTTGAGGAGGAAGTTTACATGGACATCCCACCTGGATTTGGTTCAAGTGTTGGGCAGACAATGTGCAAATTAAAAAAGGCTCTCTATGGGTTAAAGCAGCCTCCAATTTCCTGGTTTGGAAGGTCTAACAAAGTGATGCTGAGATTGGGCTACAAATAGAGTCCAGGTGATCATACTTATTTTTTTTATAGAAATATGATAGGCCTCGTTAAAAACCCCCTTCTTAACCTCCAAGTTACAACAGTAACATGAAGGGCATATGAAAGAAGATAAGAGTGCCTAATAATTCATTAATACCAGAATAATACATAGCCATCATAAGAAGTTCTGTTACAACATAAAACTTAAAAACCAAACATAGAACATAAATAACCAACTCAATAGTTGTACAACTGAGTCAATACCCTAATATTCATCCTATTCCTTCTTTAGCTAGTTTATCCGCTTCGCAATTAGCAGCTCTCAAAATATGCCTAACTACACCTCTACTCTCCACTAAGGCAGCAATGTCTTTCACCAAAGACTGGAACATAGGAGTACATACAGCCGGTTTTATAATCCATTTCAGAGCATTAAGAGAATCCGATTCAAGGATGACCCTTGGAAATGAAACCAAAGCTTTCTCCTCAATATACATCAGCCCTCTTTTGATAGCTAATAACTCTGCAAGAATAGGAGGACCCCCCCTCCCAATCCTTTCTGAAAACGAACCCTGCTGCAGCCCTTGAGCATCCCTTAGCAATCCACCAATGCCTCCTTTATCCCACTCCTTAGACATCGCACCATCAACATTTAATTTAACGAAACCTAAGGGAGGAGCACTCCAACAGGAGGAAGATATAGAATCCTTCTTCCTTTTTACCCCCAAATCATCTATTTTAACATCACCCACAAGAGAATCGAAATTAATCTGCACATCATTGAATCTCGCGACAAACCATGATGCAATTCTAAAATGAACAAGAACAATAACTGGCCATCCACCTTTCCTTTCCAAAAAATAATATCATTTCTACACTTCCAAACCGTCTAAAGCACCGCCCTAGGGATGAACTTCCAAATGGTGGATTTCGGGATTAAATCATTCCAAACAATTATGAAATCCAACAGTGTCTGGGGTGGCACAAAAGAAACATTCCAAGATGACAAGAATCTATTTCCACAAGCCTCTAACAACCTCACAATGTACAAATAAATGAGAAACCGACTCCACACACTTAACACACAAAGGACATGAAGAGTCTTCAATCCCTATAACTCCTCGCTTTGTCAATTCCTCTCTAACAACCCCTCTCTGATGAGCAGCCTGCCAAACAAAAGTTTCGACCCGAGGAGCAACCCCTGTCCATACAATGTTGTTCCGAGTACCTTCATCTTCGTCATTACTAGCCCAATCAAAAAAGCACTTCACGCAAGATTTAGCTGAAAAACAGCCCTCCCCATTCCCTGTCCAAACCCAGCAATCTTCTTGCAAAGATGATAGGTAGAATTCAACAAGGCCATAAGCTGCATCCACTGTTCCACCTCCCAGTCCACCAAATTCCTCCTTAATTTAATGTCCCAGCAGCACCCTGAGGAAGAATTTTCCTTGAACTCTACAACTTTGCCCCCTTTATTCAATGATAGAGCAAAAATCCTTGGGAACCTAACTTTTAAAAGAAACGAACCCAACCAAGAATCATGCCAAAATTGCACTGTCTCTCCATTCCCCATCTTCAAACACAAACTCTTCCTTATATAGTCCCCAAAATCATCATTAGAAAAGAAATTATTAATTATTCCTTTCCAAATCTAAGATGCCCGATTAGCCAAAGATTTCGTAATTAAGCATGTATTAAAGTCAAAATTATACACGCAACAACCAACTTTTTTCCAGCACGAATCCTTCTCTGTTGCAAATTTCCATACCCATTTACCCAAAAGAGCTCTATTTAGAAGAGCCAAATTCGGAATTCCCAAACCCCCAACCTCTTCAGCTTGCATACTAACTTCCAATTCAGCCAATGAATATTCCTCTTCTCTGCCGAACCGCCCCAAAGGAAGGTAGCCATTATGGAATTCAATCTCTTAACCACACCAACTGGAATTCTAAAAAGAGAAAATATGTCGGAAGAGAACACAAAACCGATTTCGCCAAAACTGCCCTATCAGCTAGAGATAAGGAATTAGCCTTCCAACCAGCCAATTTTGAATAAAATCTCTGGACAATTGGCTCCCACAATACTGCAGAATTTCTCTTAGATCCCAACGGTAATCCTAAATATTCTAGTGGAAAAAATCCCACTGTACAGCCAATTTCCACTGCCCAGCTTGCTAACTCATCCGGTTCCACATTAATACCAAAGATTTTACTCTTAGATAAATTTAGTTGCAAACCTGTCATCAATTCAAAAATTAACAGCACCCTTCTAACATTCTTCAAGTCTCGAGCAGTAGCCTTGCTAAAGATAATGAGGTCATCAGAAAATTGCAAATGTGATAGTTTAAACAACCTCTCTTGATTTCCTAACTCAAAGCCCGAAAACAGTCCTATCTCCATAGCTTTAGCCAACATCAAATGAAGCAACTCACCAACCAAATTAAACAATATTGGAGATAATGAACAGCCTTGTCGGAGTCCTCTTGCTGTTTTAAATTTTTCTGTTGGGGTCCCATTAACGAGTACTGAAATTGTGGTTGTTGACACGCATTGATTAATCCAAGAAGACCACTTATCCCCAAACCCCATTTTGCACATTATTTTCATCAATATAGCCCAGTCTACGGAATCATAAGCTCTTTTAAAATCTACTTTAAATACGACCCCCTTCAACCCCTTTTTCCTCCAATAATCGATACCTTCATTTGCAATAAACGAGCAATCCATAATCTGTCTTCCCGGTATAAACGCAAATTGTGAGGGGCTAATTATTTCAATAATGCAAAGACTTAACTTTCTAGATAGAATTTTATATAATCCTCCAACAAGGCTAATTGGCCTAAAATCTTGTAGCTCCTCCGGATTAACCCTCTTTGGAATGAGAGAAATAAAAGAATGATTCACCTCCGAGTCCCATACCTTCCCTTGATGAAATTCTCTAAAAAACACCACCAAGTCTTCTTTCAAATTTCTCCAAAACTTCTTGAAAAACCCTAAATTCAAACCATCTGGGCCTAGTGCTTTATTGATGTTCAAATGCGCAATTGCATCCCAAATTTCTTCTTCAGAAAATGTATTTTCAAGAGCCCTGTTTTGATCTATTGAAAGTTTTAAAAACTCCAAATCCAATTCTTCAACAACCAAGGTATCGTTTTGGTTGAACACCCCTTGGAAGAAATCCTTCACTGTGAAACATTCTTCTTCAGGGGGAGTTACTTCTTTATTGGTCTATGTAAATGATATCATAGTTACAAGGATGATTTGAAAGGAATTGATGACCTAAAGAAGTGTTTGTTAAAGGAGTTTGAAGTCAAAGATCTAGAAAGACTAAAATACTTCCTTGGTATTAAAGTGGCACATTCACAAGGGATCTTCATATCTCAACAGAAATACACCCAATACTTGTTAAAAGAAACTGGCTAAATAGGTCGCAGACCAGCAGAAACACCAATAGAAGTTATTCACAAGCTTGGAGATACAATAGAGGATGCAACAGTTGATGGAGGCTCATATCAGAGACTTTTGGGAAGACTAATTTACTTATCACACACCAGACCAAACATTACCTATGCAGTTGGGAGTTGTGAGCCAATTTATGCACAACCTTAACGAATCACACCTAAGAGCTGTGACTCAAATTCTACAATATTTGAATGGCACACCAGGCAAAAGAATTATGTTTAAAGAGGGAGGAAATTTGACTTTAGAAACCTATATTAAAGCAGATTATGTAGGGCCCGTTGTTGATAGAAGATCAACTTCATGATACTATACCTTATGGGAGGAATTCTAGTGGCATGGAGAAGCAAAAAGTAGAATGTTGTGGCTAGATCCAACTATGATTAGAGCAATGGCACTTGGGATTTGTTAATTGTTGTGGCTAAAGATTATTTTGGAGAATTTAAAGATCGAATAGGAAGGCCCAATGAAGTTGTACTGTGATAATAAATCAGCAATCAGTATTGCTCATAATCCAGTTCAAAATTACAGGACAACATGTTGAAGTGGATAGACATTTCATAAAAGAGAAACTTGACAGTGGACTAATTTTTACTCCCTATGTGTCCACTGGAGATCTAGTTGCAGATATACTTACCAAGGGGCTACCTGGGAAGTATTTTCAAAAGTTAGCAAGCAAGCTGAAGATGGAGAACATACATTCCCCAGCTTGAGGGGGAGTGTCATAAAATAGATTCCTAAATTAGAAATATTATGTATACTTAGATAGGATCCTGTGAATATCTTTTAGTAGTTACAATCCCTAACTTCAAGGGATTGTATCTTTCCTAAAATTAGTTACTTTCCTAGCTTAAGAGTTTCCTAAGTTAAGGTTACATCTTTTATGTAAATATGTAACAAATCTTATAGAAAATATGAGCTTTACAGAGAATTACTCTACTTTTAACAAATTAGAGAGTTAAATCCATTTCATAAAGATATATATAGCCCTTCAACAAATATTCAAGAAGCTATTGATCGCATAATATTCTCAACCTCAAATCATAGGCCAAAGAATGGAATAGTTGATTGCTATAAATTAAAATACAAAAAAGGCCGTCAAACATATCCTAGTTTAAATAATTCAATAATTAGAAAATGATTTGCCAATATACCCTTTCAAGTGCTCTGCCAAAACACATTGGTGAATTCACGACCAAAACTTCTGGTAGCACAATCCAAGTAGGCATTGAGAATGTTTAACAGAACCCAAGCCAAGCTTCTCTGCCAATGAGCATGTTCAAGCTACATTTAATCACAAATTAAGGGCAAAAAGAACTTGTAAGTTGAAATAACAAGTATAGCAAATCAATACAACCATATCAAAGCATCATTAAGAATATATAAATTGAAAAAAATAAAAATACATGTATTCCTTCCCATCATTCTATTTTACTCGACTCACCACACAACCAGATGGCAATGTTTATACAATTTCCCATACTTATAAAGCACGTCTTACTAGCATAATTGATGACACGGAGAAACAGTTCAAGATGAAAAACATATACAAACACAAATTAATAAATTAATAAAATCATTCCTTTTCTTTTTTTTTCTTTTCTCTTTTTCCTTCTTTCATCACTGACATAGCCAAGTCTTATACCAGACTCCCCCATCTCTCTCAACCCAACCCCAAGATTTCACTCTAGGCAACCTTGCAAGGCCAACAACATATCTCCCCTAAGCAAAAGATTCACAAGGATTCTTATTACTAATGGTGGCAAACTGTTACTTTGCCTTGTCCCAAATATCTTGCTTCATATGCCCTTTTTGCTTTTCTTCTCGCTTTGCAGCGAGACAAAACCATGGGATTCATTAATGTTGCAGAAACATGGTAGTTATTAGGTAGCACTCTTGGATAAATTGTTAGATAGGACTCGCACAATAAAGTTGTTTTTATAAAAATTGATATTGATGGGACTTCATCTATTTTATAATTTTGAAATCTCTATTTAAAGAGACTTACAGAATAAAAAAAAGCAGAATTTCTATCAAAAACCTAAAAAGATTTGAGTCTCAGTCCTAAGGTTTCAGTCTCCCATCAATGAGCTGAGAGATTTCAGTCTCCCAAAAGCTCAATGAAGAACCTTGCCACATAAATAGGACTCCTTTCCCCCATAATTCTACTGTTTTTGGTCTATTAACCTTTGTTACTATTACCTGAATTATTTCTGTTGGTTTTTGTACTATTTCACCTTTGAGTAGATGCGGAACAGGAGTTCCATGTTTCTTTGGATTAATAAGAACATACTAAAACATTATTTTCACACATATATATAGTAAAAAAAAACTAACAGAATTACATACCATGTGGCATCAAATTGTTGCTGACTTCTCAAAATGAGTAACAAATCAAGGGGATGGCCTACACAATAAATACAGTAGATAAGAAAACAGAAATCCAAATCAATTGAAGACTGCATAAATCTCATTAACAAAAGGTACAATCTTCATCACGTACAAATTATATGCATGCATGCTAGTTTAAAGATCCACGACACCTGAACAAGAGCAAGAATGGTTAGACAAAAAGTGAGCAGAGAATAGCAGGTAGCATGTCTACTTAATTTTCATACGGTGATAATGTTTTCCTCAGAAAGCAAGAAATTCAATGCAATCAAGATCATTAAAAAAATGAACAGCAATAAATCCCACTGCATCTTACTTTTTTGAACCACAGTTGCAAGGAATTTTTTTTTCCTCCAAAGGAAACTTGTAGTTATAAGTAATTTCTTCACCAGCAGCTATATGACGTTTTGCATAAATGAATATCTTCTTTTGGCCTTCTACGCTAATAACTTTTGTATAACAATTAGGCTGCAATTCAAGTATTCCAAGTTAGCAGCACAAATCGATCATGAATAGCAAGAACGAACAGAGCTACATCTTTACATACCTCACAAGAATGGTTTATAAACCTAGCAACCCCACCACGCTTTGTAGCATCAACCTATACATCGATGAAGTATAACAAAAGTCAAAAGATTGGCCCAAAAACAAGAAAGTATGCTCCGACCATAATGCAGCTTAAACCAAGACCCCCAATTTAAAAATTTGATTTACTTACTACATATCCGTCATCAAGTCTAAATAGATAACTGCTACCAATTCCCATCTTCTCATAATACTGTTCTCGTATATCAGAAATCTACAACATTTAAAAGCATATTCAATGGTCATTTGTGAAAAGAAGAGGAATTGCAAATATTAGTCTGAACAGGAAAACATACAAGTCAAACCTACCCTCGGACGAATTAACTCCCCAACATATTCAATGACAAAGTCCTCGGCCTCAATTGGCTCAAGCGCAATGAGACCCCAATCATGTATCTTGCTTCGCTGAAAACGTAAACGCTTTTTCCTTGCCTAATAAATGAAGCAAATTTGAAATCGATGTCACATCAAGACATTTCAAAACCATGATATTCAAATATCATCATGTTAAAATCACCTTCAACTGTGTAACTTTCAAGAGATCAGCACCCTCTGCAGCAGCCAGAAGGTTGCGCATCTTCACTCTGTTAGTTCTTGCAGAAAGAACTTTACTGCTAGACAAGTTTGCCATACTATTAACCTCAGGACCTGAATACTTCATGTTAATACACTGAATTCCTCTAACACGAGCTCTTTCAGCGGGACTTGCATTGAGAGACCATTTATGCCACTCCCAACCATTAATTGAAGTTCGCGCACATCCATCAGATCTAGGACAGGGATTTGCAATCCTGGATCTAGTTTTGCGGGCCTTTTGATCTGCAACCCCTCTAGATGAAGAAAACTTGCTACCACCATTACCTACTTTCTGTAGCTTGATTGAAGGTGATGGATGTTCATCATTATTTAATTGCTTTCTTTTTACCCCTGATACCTTCTTTGCTGAAGATAATAACAGAAATAAAGAAAATTTAATATATGCAATAATTTGATATAAAACAAAAGAATATGCGTGGGGGGGACCTTTTAGTGTTTTCTTGGAGGAATCATTAGTAAGCTCTCCTTCACTTCCAACAGTATGGTTACTCCTGCCTACAATATTCTCATCACAATTCTGAAAGGCTGATGCAGTTTCCCCTCTGGCTTTAACAGCACCTTCTCCAACCAAATTTTCTGCATAACCATTATCATCTCCAAGTTCATTACCATCTTCTGCATAACCAAGAACTTATCAGAAGGGGGAAAAACAACATACTTTGAACAGTAGAAACATGCTTTGATATTTTCTGACAACTTGCACTCTTGGGTAATGAGTGGTCATTGAGCAAACTCTTCTTAGTTTCTGCATAACATAGTTAATAAACATTATTATTTCTAAGCTCATTATCATCTTCTGCATAACCAATAAATTGTCAGAAGAAAAAAACAACATACTTTGAACAGCAGAAGCGTCCTTTGATGTTTTCTGACGAGTCGCATGCTTGGGTTCCGAGTGGTCATTGAGCAAACTCTTAGTTTCTGCATATCATAGTTAATAACCATTATTATTTCCAAGTTCATTATCATCTTCTGCAATATTAAGAACTTTACAGAGGGAAAACGACATACTTCGAACAGCAGAAGCATCCTTTGGTGTTTTCTGACAACTTGCACTCTTGGGTGATGAATGATCACTGTGCAAACTCTTCTTAGCTATGACTTTTGATGACCCAGAAATATTAGATGATTGAGACATGCTTTTATTTGTCCCAACCTTTTTAGAAGGGGCATCAGTTAGTTTTGGATCTGCATGATCCAACAAATTCTTGGAAGACTCTTTCTTCAAAGGCCTTTCAACAGGTTGATCCTGTGACCCATTGATAATCATGGAGTGAGAAGGTCCTAACTTCTTATGAACCAACTTCTTTCGGTAATATGTACATGTACCAGTCGCTAAAGATACCTCTGAGGAGCCAGAACTGATAGACTTACTTGACCCCTCCCTGGGCTTATCTCGTGGGGCAGAAAAACCAGCAAGATTTTTCTTGTCTTCGCTAAACTTCTTTTCCTGAGGCAAATTAAAAGTTACAACAAATTATTCAACCCAATAAAAATCTATGGGGTTAGTTGTTAGAATAGAAGGTACAAAGTAGTAATCGTTACCTCTTTGCCATCAGCCTCACTCTGTTTCTTCAAACTACGCCATGACACAATAAACTTGTAAAGATTAACATTACTAGCAAATGTTGATTTCCACTCTCTTAGTACATCATCATGGAGCTTCTGACGACAAATTGCCATGGCAACATATTCTCCAATCTTAGGGCCATGCTCAACTGTAGTTGAAGGTCGAAATTTACAAATGTGTGATGGAACAAGAATCCCAGAGTTAACCTCAATTCCAGGAGGTGATGGCTCGTCAACTTCTTGTTCATTACTTACATCCACAGCCTTCCCAAACAATCTTTTAAATCCCTCAACCATAAAGGTACCATCCCTTTTAGTATAATCGTTTTCAGATATAGATTGACAACCAGGCTTCTGTGGTTCTAATGAGTTCAGATTGGCAGATATAGAAGAAAGATGGCACTGACCAGAAGATCCAACCGTGTCTTGCAGCTGTAAAAGAAAACTATTTGTTCTGAGAGATATGATCCTGGTGTCTTATACAAAAGCACATATTGGCTGTGATTGGAATGGGAGAACCTAGTCTCAATAGAACAATTTTAAAATTGTAATGAAAAAAAAATTATGAACTAACAGGATATACCTTTTGTAACTCTTTCAATTCCTCATCTATCGAGAAATTGACTGATTTGTCTGCGTCCTCTTTATTAGGATTTTCATTCAATTTTTCATCATTTTCCAGATCAATCACGACTTTGGCTTCACTTTTAACAAGATTGTCAACATAGTCAGCCATAAACACCATAGCAGAAAAATGGAGCTCATTTTCAACACCTTCCAGGATACATTGTATGCCACCATAAAGGCCATTAATGTGCAATGGACTGTTCTGTTTGGATAAAGTTTCCTGCACTGCAGATGAAGATATATGCATCTCTTCTGCATGGTTATCTACAGAAACTGTTGCCAATTCATAACCAGGTGGACAATCAATATCATGGGCCATCAATTCCTTCCCAGAGAAGAACTGTGAAACCATAAAGCATTAGATTCAAGTTCATTACATACTATTTACACAAAATAGAATATAGACTTTACTTACAGTTGTAGCTTTTACATTTTCAGTCTCCTTGCCATGATTAAAGGAGCCATTAGCAGATGCCATAACATTTGGCTGACCCAACCAAAGTTTTCCCTTTCTCCAGGAAGACAAGAAATCAACAATACTATCATAAAAGACAGCATTCCATGTAACTTCCATGCAATACTCAAAAAGCATCTTACAAACAACCGAATAAGAACCCCAAAAATTTTCAATGCTTCCCACAGATTTTTGACATGCATCAAAATCAGTAGATTCTTGAATTGACGGACTAGATACATCATGAGAGCCTGCTGTGCCAAACGTGGGAGTACAACGAATACTTCTTTCAGGGGTATTTTTAATCTGTATACCAAACAAACTTTAGATTTTAAGACAAACAAACATCAGATATTTATTATTGAGTGATTGGATATATTACCAGTTTTCCATCAGAACTTTTAACATCTTGGTTGCATGACTCAACCATTAGATGCTTGTCAGATTTTTTTGCAGCAACAAACTCTGAGATCATAGTGGTGATTATTTCATCTAGCATAACTCTACGAGCTACTTGCATAATTCGAGAATGCAAATCAGAAGAAACTTCTTCAGAAATTGCTGATATGAAGTTGACAGATGACTCATGTTCATTTTCAACAACAAACTGACCACCTTTCCAAGCATTTAAAACAGACAACAAGTTGGTGGGACAAAACCTATCATTAGCATGATAAATCTGCAAAATAATAAATTAAAACAAAAGGAAATAAGAAGAAAGAAACCGAGTAAAGCTTTGATGCATCATGCCATCCTACCACAACATGTGTACTAGGTTTGCTAGAGCTCATAGGACCCAATAGTTGAAACAAATGATCGTTCATGCTGTGATGAATCATGACTCAAATCACAAGAGTTTCAAAGCTTACCATAATAGAATCTCCAAGATAACCACTGCAATGCCAAGAAAACAATTGCAAAAGGGAATGAGGCCCATGTTTCCTACTCTCACCATCTTCAAACAACCAACATACATCTTCCCCTGACTGGAATAAAAAAAAGTGAAAATCATTCAGAGGAAATCCTATAAAAAAAAAAACAAACTAGCAACACAATGTTAAGTGCTCAGGTGCTTACACCGCATCTGAACTGAGAGGGGAAAGGGGAAGGAGCGTGTTGGATACTGGTAAGGGAAGAATTTAAATAACTGGAAGCTGTGGTTGAAGTGAGTTGAACAAATCCTGTAGCAACATGATCAGGGAACTGCCTAAAGTACTTTAAGGGAACAGGATTTATCAAAGTCCCATTGACTATAGGATAAACAGGGAGCTCGTCTGGCAAGAAACCAGTAGACAAACCATCGTACAACTGCTGCTGGATATAAGGACCGCACATCTGCCCATGCTCATTGACATACATCCATCCACTCACATAAGAAGAACAAGAAGAAGATGGTCCATTGCTGAAGTAACTGTTGCCTACGTCATTACAAGAATGTGGAATACCACTGTTGTTGCCATTAGACTGGCAACTCATCTCCGTTGCAGATTGCTCATCACTGTCGAATAATGAACACGGTTATCAAAACAAATTATATAGAAGGGACAACAGCAGAATCAACAATAAAAAAAAGTACATTGATAAAATTACCCGCGAATTGAAGATGCCAAGTGGGCGGAGGGATCTGAAACTTTAAGGCGCTTTCTGGAAATTTTTGAGTGATCATATTCGCCAATGGGGGATGTTGAGGACACCATTGGTTGACCTTATCAATTCAAATCTAAGTCTATTGTTCATAAATGCATTATTACTAACTAATCCCAAAAAAACTAAAAGGGATGAAAAGAAAGGCAAATATCGTAACGAGATCTATTTATGTTGAATCTGGAATAGAAACAAACAAATTTTCCAATAATATTTTTTAAAACATACCATTTGCGAAAATATGAATCATTCAACCATATTACATGCCCTCCAATGAAGTCCAATCGTCGCCGCAATCTGTACAACTCCGGTGGTTGTTGGTTCCAAATCCTATTAGGGTAGAAGGGGTTTTGATAGAAAGAAATTTGCGGAATTAGGGAAAAACCATTACGCGCAACCGGCGATTAATTTGGGTTGTTCCCTTTGTTCTTTTCTTTCTTGGGTCACAAAAGAAAATTTGTGTCTACCCCTCTCTATCACACGCACAAGTGAGTCTCACTTTTGACTCCTTCCATAGTTTATTTAATTATTTAATTTTCTTCCTACATATATGAAAACCACCCCGAAGGGACTGGGCAATTCGTATGAGATTGCAGCTGTTCTTTTTATCGACTTCGATCTCGAGCCCTATTTCTTCTATGATCTTATTGTTTCTGGGTTTGTTTCAGGCTTTTGATATAATTATCCACTCATTTTTGGGCTCTTTTTGGGCCAATTAATGGTAGATGATTTTTAATTAATCATATTAGCTAATTTTATTGAATATGTAAAATGTCATAACATTGAAACAATTATTGGCAAATAAATAAACACAATAAAAAAATAAAGAATACCAAAATTTACGTAGAACATCCAGAAGGAAAAAAAAACGGACATAAGAGAAGAATTTTACTAACATGAATGAAGAAAATAAAAGAGGATTTTGGAGAAAGAAAAAATTTGATATCTAACTCTTACCTTTAGGGGGCGTTTAGTTCACGGAAAAGAATATTACCAGGTATAACTCATTACTAATAGTTGTATTTTTGAGTTAAAATGGTGGGAATGTCATTACCTCCAAATTCTTAGTTAATGAACAATTCCAACCATTTTGGACATCAGTACCCCTAACATAATAATTTTTTCATATGAATCCTTCTTAATTCTTATTCTTTTTGTTTTACTCAAAATAATAATAATGATAATATATAAATAGTTTAATTTAATAAAATATTAATAAATTTAAGTAATTAAAATTATTTTATATTTTAATATTTAGTATATTTTTTATTTTATAATTTTATGATTTTAAAATATTATTATTGTAAAAATGTAATTATTTAAAGTAATTTTTAATTTTGAGTTATTAAAAAAATAGATCTTATACATTAAAAATTAATATATTTCTCCACCTGAGATCACAATATTATTTTTCATATTATATTTTATTTTATATAAATAAATATGACACTTATGAAAATTATTTAAAATTATAAGTTTGGTATACTAATTATATTAATTATATGTTAAATATATTTATTCTTTGAACTTAGATAGTGTAATAATTAAAATATTTTTATAAATTTTCCTTCAAATATTTATAATTTAATATTAAAGGTTTACTTTTTTTAAAAAATATACATCACAATGATAATTTGGTAAAATATGCATCCAAGTAATCTTATATTCCTCCAACCAAACGCTATAATATGCTAAGCAAACCAAACAGGGTAATACAACATTCTCAGAGTAATGTTACATTCTGGAAATCTTATTTCCAAAGGTAATCTTACATTCTGTGAACCAAATGCACTCTTAGTACCTATTTATAGGGATAGATACTTGATTACAAATGAAACTAAATAAAGTAGAAATATATTTTAATAAAGTTATCTACTTTTAAACAAACTAGGTTTATTATTTTTCTAAATTTATATATTAATTAATTTGTGTGACTTTGAAATCGAATCAAACTCTAACAAATCTCCACCTTTATGTGAATTCTAAAAGTGTGAATATTTCTAGACAAAACACCCAAATTCGATGAGGCATCAAAACACAACAAAAAATAATTCTTCACTTCAACGAAAAAGTTTTTCACTTCTTCCACAACACTCCTTAAAGGGGTAATCTTTAGTAATAGACGCCGACCAAATCCAAGATTTTCTAAGCTTGGATTTAGTCTTCACATCGACATGGCTATCATAAGTGTCAACCTTGCTCATAAATGTATCACCACGAGCAACATCATGCACGACACGATCATGATCAGCAATGATAATTCTATCTCTAAATCCATTATGCCCATAAAATTAAATATTTTCTGCTTCACATAACTGTTTTGCCCACGGTTATCTTGTTCAACAAAAAAATATTTTTTTGCTTAATTTAGTCAAGACATTTTTACTAATAACAAAATTATTTTTCATGGGGAGGAAACATCAGTTGCATTATCTAAAACTGTTAAACTATGTATAACATAAAACTTGGCAGTCTTCTTTGTCGATTCATCACAACAAGAAAGCCCTTGTAAATTTTCATAACTCCGCATTCACTAGAGAATTTGTAGCATTTTGAATATAGGATGCCTAAAAAAATTAGATTTCTACTCAAATATGTAATATGTCTCACATTACCAAATGTTAGAACAATCTCATCAAACATATTAATCTTTATTGTGTCAATACTTGCGACTTTACAATGGATATTATTTTGAAATATCCCAAATATCATACCAGGGACTATATCGAAAAGATTTGAAATTTTAAGATTTAAAATTTAATAAGTGGTAAAAGATGAGAAAAAAGATTTAGAATAATGTTTAAACTAATTTGTATCAATAGATAAGTTAAGAGGGTATTTTGGTCTTTTAAGAGGAAAATGAATTTAAAAATAGATAGGGATTTTAAATAGGAAGATAGAGAAAAGTAAATTAATTCTACACTTATTCTTCTTCTTCACGTTGGTGTGCTCTTCTCTTGCATAGGGTAAATTATCATTAGCTAGTGTTTTCTTTAAATTATGAATTGCTTTGGTAACATTAAGTGATATATTTGCATAAAGAAGAATTAGATGGGATTAAAATGTATAGATAAGGGGAATAATGAGGATTTTATAAAATGGATTTTGAAATGATATGTTAATATATGAGTGTTTATTGATGTTTATTGGTATATTTGACTTATTAAAGAGCTAATTGAGAGATTAGAAACATTGGATGAGTTTAAAAACAATATAGCAAGTTTGGTGTGATTCTTAGAAGCTAATGATCTTGAGGGATACTAGATGTTTTAAGTATCTAAATGAGGAAAAGTTAGTATGTATAAGTAATGAAGAGTTTGGTAGAATTATGGGAGGCAATCATAATGAAATTTAACCTCAATTGTGTAATAATTGGTTTAAAAACTAGAAAATTTGGGCACGAGTATCGGTACTGATAGAACAATACCGATACTATAAGCTAAAAATATAATGAATCAGCTGCGTAGTATCGATACTGATTCAATCAGTATCGATACCGAAGAGAGAGTATCGATACCGAAGTGAAGGTATCGATACCATTTTGAAACAGAATGCAAAAATGGTATCGATACCATGGGAAGGTATCAATACCATAGTATGGTAGTATCGATACCATGGTAGGGGTATCGATACTGAGGAACCAGAAATTGTATGAAAGGCTAAGATTATTATGGAAAGGTTACTAATAGGTACTTTTGAGTAATGTTTAAGTATAATTGTTAGGAATTATACTAACAATTGATATTATACATGTATCTAATGGATATGGAATAGATCGAAATCATGCCCCTGAATCAAGTAAAGTTAAAGGCAAAGGTCAAGTTCCGGAGTAGCAGTTTGTACGTTTTGGATATCAAAGCAAGGCAAGCCAGGTGAATACATTTATTGTATGCAATTTATTTAAGGACAATATGCAATAAATACAATTAGAATGTTTAAATTTTAAAGTATGTTTACAGTAGTTACTAAGTTTTATTTAATGTATGGAAAGATTATTATGAATGAGTTTTAGAGTATGAACTGCTCTAGAACGAATGAATAAAAGAATAATGCATATGGGTGCATTATTGGCATGAAATGATGTCTTAGATGAAATGCATATGGGTGCATTATCGACATAAAAGAATAATGCATATGGGTGCATTATTGGCATGAAATGATGCCTTATCTGAAATGCATATGTGTGCATTATCGACATAAAAGAATAATGCATATGGGTGCATTATTGGCATGAAATGATGCCTTAGCTGAAATGCATATGGGTGCATTATCGGTATAAAAGAATAATGCATATGGGTGCATTATTGGCATGAAATGATGCCTTAGCTTAAATGCATATGGGTGCATTATCGGCATAAAAGAATAATGCATATGTATGCATTATTGGCATGAGAGGATGCCAAAGTTGAAATGCATATGGGTGCATTATCAACATAAAAGTATGCTATAATTGAAAATGCATAATGGTGCATGAAAAATGTAAATGTATGTTATAAATGAAAATAAGGAATAATGACCAATAATTATGACAATTTCGAATGGAATACAGTTAACTAAAAAGGATTAGAGAATCCTTAAAGAATATACAATTCAATGAGAATCAAATAATATGACATACTTATGTATACATAAACGTTTCTTTACTATATTATATCTCACTAAGTAAATACTTAACGTGTGTTGCTTTCACGTATAGGTAAAAGCAAAGACTAATCCAGTAAGGAGTGCAACCGTATCAGAAGATATCATCCATTAAGGTTGACTCACCAGTAACATTAGGACAATAGAAATCATTTTGGAACTTTGTTTGGTATGCAACTAAATTTACCAAAATATTTTGTAATATAATTTAATGAGTACTACTTATTATGTTAATTTACGGGGAATTAAGTTTGTAACCAAATTTTAAAGGCTTTTCAAAATGAGTATACAATTTTTAAAGTGATGTGACATTTTTATTCGTATACGGAAATGTATACGAGATATGGGTGTTACATATTTCCCAAATACATATCACCTATAAATGCATCTTTATACATCACAAACCGATCACAATTGGGACTCATATGAAAATTGATACCAGAGTTAAGTACCACTCATCACTTGTTATAGAGTTGTCGTCAGCCCTAACTAAAAGTTCTCTGTTATAGCATTCCTCTGCTACACCGACCTCACCAAATTTTTTAGAGTTATAATCTTCAGTTTTTTTTATTTTACAACTTGTAACACTCTAGTTTAACATGACATCTCTTTTTACAAAAATGAAAGTTTTTCCTCGATTTGAAGATTTTGATCTATATCTTCCTATACTACTAGAAGAACACTTGTTTTTTTAATGGTCTGAGCTAGTTGATCCATGCACCACAAGACCCTCTGCTTAGGGATCGAAACCAAATACAAGGTGTTTCATCTTATCAAACGTGTGCTGGTCATTGGACACTTCTTCAAGCGTGAGTGTTTCGTGATTGTATGTGATTGTCTCTAAAAGATGAGTACGAAT